TCGTTGCCTTTTTGTCGTTTCTACCTACGCTCCCACCGACTGCAGCTCGGATGAAGTGAAAGATGAATTTTACAGAAAGCTATCTGAACTTCTTCAGAAAGCTAAACGTTCAGACATAGTACTCGTAGCAGGTGACTTAAGTGCTCAAGTATGTAGTTTAAACCAAAAAGAAAGGCATTTAGGTGGATGTTTTAATATTCCGACACAGCGAACAGATAATGGTTATCGTCTGCTGGGACTATGATCAGACAATCGTTTATTTTTAGCAAACACAAATTTTAGGCATAAAGAAAGACATCGTCCAACATGGTGACTCTCTACACCAAACTAACAATGGATTCAAATAGACCATATTGTCATCAGTCATCGTTGGAGAGGGTCGGTAGAAGATTGTCACTCATTCTGGAGTACCTGTTTGGACGCCGACCATGCCTCATACGGGCACGCATCTGCTTGCGCCTAACTGAACGCTAAAAAGCCACACTAAAAAGACTCCTTAGAACTGAACTTATTAACGAGAAAACTAAATGTAGGTTCCAGAAACAACTGCGGTCACAATTAGGTATTTCTGAAAACGAGGTTGACCCAGATGTTTCCTGGAAAGATACACAAACAGTAGTGACATCTGTTAATGATTTAAACCAAGAGGTTACAAAAAAACAAAGGATTCATTCTAAGTCTATTGCAATGACGGATTTTCATAAATTAATCCCATCAGGCTCTGAACACAATGAAGAGCGACAATAAATCAGATCTAGATTAACCAAAAGTCTAAGGAACCACAGTGAGCAGTGGTGGGCAACGAAAGGAAAGAGACGGAAAAGATGGCGTCTATAGGGAACACAAGACAGCTCTTCAGACTAATAAAAGAAACTGGAATTAATAAGTCAAGTGTAAGTCAGACTATTTCGGAAAAAGATGACACCCTCATCTACTCTCAGTGCAGACGTTTAGAACGATGGGCGGAATATTTCAGAGAACAGTTCAGCTGGCCTTCAGCTACTCTACAACTACCCTCCATTCCCAGAGAGTGTGAATGGAACATTGAAGTAAGTCACCCAAATCTAGCAGAAGTTCAAAAGGCTATAGTTAATATGAAACAATGAAGGGCAGATGGTCTAGATGGATTGACTCCAGAGGTCTTTGAGGATGGTGGTCAAATTTTAGCGGTTAGGTTGACTAATATTTTAGCTAAGATCTGGGAGTTAGACGTTATTCCATCTGACTGGTTACAATAACTGATCGTCCCAATATATAAGAGAGGGTCAAAATCATCCTGTGACAACCATAGACAGATTAGTTTAACTAATATATCGTATAAAATACTAGCCTCGATAATTGTTGGACGAAACCTCAAGTGGTGTCCGTCTAGGCTCTCCACTTTCTCCATTTTTGTTTAACTTCATCACAGACCTACTGATGGAAATAACATTATCGTCTACTCAATTCTCAGGTCAATTTATCGACTTCGAATACTCAGATGAGATAGTCCTGTTTGGTGAAGACGCTGATAAAATGCAGAGTCTTCTGGCAGCAATAAGCAACAGAGCCAGAATGCTAGAAATTCGCTTGTCTCCCTTTAAATGCAAGTTGTTGTTTCAGGACTGTTCTACGTCAACACCTGAACTAAGGATAGGGAGTGAAGTAGTCGAACGCGTCGACAACTTTACTTGTCTGGGAAGTCTGATCAGCATTAATGGATTGTTGTCTGACGAAATCTCTGCACAGATTCAGAAGGCTCGTTTGGCTTTTACCAATTTACGTCACTTATGGCGAAAGCAAGATATCTGTCTATCAAATAAGGGACGAGTATACTGTGCGACAGTTCGTTCCGTTTTACTTTACAGTGGCGAAACGTGACCATTAAGAGTAGAAGATACTCGTATTTGATCACAGGTGACTTAGAAATATTGCTGGCGTCTGCCGGGATCACCGGGTAAGTAATAGTGAAGTTAGACGCAGAGTATTAGGGAATGATGGTATATCAGTTTATGAAGTTGTGAATCTTCATCGACTGAGATAGTTGGGCCACGTGTTACGTATACCTGAACACCGATTACCACATCGTGCAATGCTAGCCGGTGTTGTGGATGGTTGAAAGAAAGTTAGGGGCGGCCAAACCAAAACGTGGAGTCATTGCTTGGAGATACTAACTTCTCGTCCCAGCCGTGTTGTTAGATGCATACTACTTGATTGGGGTCCGCGTGACTATCATAACCAATGGTTGGAGACTCTGGGTGACATGGCTCAGAACCGATCACAACGGTGTAAGTGTTTACACTCCCTATCTTCCCTTAAACTAAGAGATTAAAATTGCTTCTTATCTTCCTTTCCATGAAATAATTCCTTCTTCCTGTACTATGTTCTTATATGCAATCTTTGACTAATATATTACCACCACTGACTTTGTAGTGACATTGGGCCCTAATACGAGACAATGTGGGAAATAGACATTCAACACTTAACACAGAGAAAAACCCAACTATAAAGAGGGTGGAAAGAATGGAATGAGTGATTTGGAGTTGATCGGATGACATGGCTCGGCCATGCAGGCGTCGTCCATGCCTAATTTTACCTTATATCTTTTATTCACATTATATATATTGTTCTTTCTCTGACCTAAGTTTGTTCTTCATCATGTATTTGTAATTGTTACGACACAGTGATTTGGTGTAGACGATGATGTGACTTCCACGTACGATCTTACAGATTTGGTAGTTATGTCATGACGAACTTTTGGATTAGTTCTATTATTAGAGCAGTACTAATATCATAGTAGACCATAATCATACAGCTTAACTACTCGTATGAATCCAGTGTTCATCTTGCTGTGTTAATGCGGTATGGCAACTTCGACCGATGCATATATGTGCCTGGTCCTACATTCTAGGTGACTGAATGATACTGTTGATCAAGCTTACCAGCGAGTACTGCTGGAAGTTTAAGTGCGTTATCTCGTTTCGGTGCTAAACAACCCGCAGAGAGGTTTTCTCATAAAAATGGATATTGATATTTGCCGGCTGATTGCTGAAAGCAAAATGATTCATCGTTGCGGTAATTTATTATCATTCTATTTATTCTTTTGTAGATGTCTTACAAGTATGCAGCTCAATAATAGCAGCCTCATGTTTTCAGAAATGGGACATGTGAGTGATGATCGGTTGTTTTATCACGATCTTCAGTTTGATTATTATGCGTTCTGAAGTGTCCATTTGGAGCATAAGATAGGAATTTCGACAATTGTGAAGTTATACTCTATTGTTACACCCTTTGTCCGAAATAGCATATGCATTGAACTGAAGGTTTTCAGTTGTCGAAGACAGTCAGTTTAATGTGGGGTACCGAATTAAAGAAAGACCAGATCGTTGATCAGATCTCATGTTACAATTCTAGATGACGGGATGTATATGAGTCTTTGTAATTTAATAAACAACATTATTCTCCACCAGGCAGTTAGATCAAAGCACATATTGCTAGTTATTCTGTCATCCGAATAACTACACATACTGTAAAACTTAGTTGTTTTTCCAAAATGCTTTGGTAGATTCATTTGTATAAATGGATTCACTAAATGATAACTTCCGTGAAGTAATAAACATGCCACAGGTATTCAGAGTTCCACAACACCTTAGCCAGTAATAATCGGAACGTGCCAATCAAGTGAAATCAGAAATCAGAAGCGAAGAGGTTCGAAAATATATTTGATAGAATATCTATATATCGAGAAGTGATTAATCTAAGGTGGCTAGCGGCTGTAGGGGAAGTGGGGCGCGGCGTATACCATACGTATGTATGACCGAGTGCCTTCAGCTAGATGAGTCCATCAAAACTATTGCCGTCAGAATTATATATCGAAGACTCATAGAGCTATTTATTTTGGGCGCTTATTTACCGCTGCAGTACTAACTGGATCCTTACTTTTCAAACCCTTTAAGCATAAAAACACCCCAACACCTTTTTTACGTCTAAGAAATGTCTTAACCTCTTGGGCTATTCGTGGTGGACAGCTATTAGGTTTACGTTGTAGTAAGCACTGTACAAATGGGGACGCAACTAGTCTAAGTGTACTTTGAATATGAACCATGTCTTAATGGGTGGGCTAGTATATACTGACCAGTCTGTTGTTGCAACGCACTCCTGAATAGCTGATACGTTTGCTCACTACACATTCAGTTGAGGTTTAGCATAGTCGTATATTATGTTACAAGCTCTAAAGATGAATGGCAAAACAGCATGGCCGTAAATCGCTAACGGTTTGAGGACATTTAGGTAGGAAATTTAGTCAACCGCATTGAAAGTAGGTGAAAATCAACGTTTTGTTGATAATTCAGGTCGACATGATGAAGAAATATTGACCAGCACATCATTAAAACAACTGACTTCATACGTATGTATTGAGGATTCGTTTGAAATTATCTATTATCCCTAAATTTGCGTACAGTGAGTGTGAGTAGTCTATGAAGCAATAGAATTGCGCTTATATTATGTATTTAACTTCATCATATGCCTTCCGAAAATCATCCTGAAACAGGAAAAGTTCTCCAGCACCAGAGGTCTAATCCGTTTACTTACATCAACCGAAATATTTTGGTAGTTAGCGGCTTGACCAAAAGACCTGGACATGTTCCTACCAACGTAAATAAACAGTCCCCAGAATTGCATATCAATGTTTTAACTGATATTACGTTATTTTTGGAGTTTAATACGGTCTTCAAAAGACCCAAGCAACACAAAAAGGGGAAATGTCGCTTTTTCGCCTTTACGTCGGTTATTTAGGGGAAATGTCACTTTTTCCCCCTTACGTCGTTATTCACGCTCAGCGTGAATAACGGCAACGTTTTAGTAGATTATTATACAAAAACAAATGTAATATTTGAACTGAAAAAGAATGATATTTTCTAAGTTTACAGACGTCACTAGACTACTTAATTATGCAAAAACCACGAACTTATTTAAGATAACATATGCTCAACCAACCCCCAATATTTTAGACATGGAATGCCGCCTTGAACAAAGCAACTCAAGGTCGTTGGGACAGATTTGGCTTGGACCTATCGTAAGAGGTTGGTTACAAGCACATTATATTTTCCCTGAAACTACTAAAGCCCTAGAACTTTTTACGTCTTAAAGCGTAAATCCGGAAACGTCCCTAAAACCTGATATATTCCAGATGTGTCGGAATGATATTTTATCCCAGACAACCCAAAAAGGGGAAATAATGGGGAAAAAAGGGGAAATAAAGGGGTAAATGCTTTGGTGACGAAAGGGGAAATAAAGGAGAAAACGCGCCAGAATGTCGCCTTTTTCGCCTGTCCGGGGGAAATAATGCGGAATTTCCCCTTTTTTCGCCTTTTCGTCGACAAATTACCCACTTATCGCCTAAATATCCGCCGAATTGTCGCTTTTTCGCCTAAATATCCGCCGAATTTTCGCCTAAATATCCGCTGATTTGTCGCATATCCGCCTAAATACACACATTACACCCTATTTTCTATCCATCGACAGAAGACCAAAGGTCTCCTGCATTCGCCTTTATTTTCAACAACAGACAAAAATATTTCTGCAATGCAGTTTAAAAGCGGTAAATTTTTTAAAAATTGTATTTAAAAAGAAAAGCCTATTATTGTATAACAGTAGAGCACAAGCTTAAGCATCCATTGTTATGCATATCCAATGCAATTGCTGATTCATTTTTATAGAAAATTATCTGAAAAAGAAGGAACAGGTTATGTTTTATTCATAAGCAATGTCCATTTAATCAAAAGTTCACTGAAACTCAAACACATTCTCAACAGTTTCCCAAGTAAGTAAAAAAGTAAGCTGTTTGAAAGAAAAATGTTTATTGACACCGAGGTAGAACACCAAAACAATTGCACGGACTATTCAGAATTGAGGTAGTCGTCCTGTGAATTCTGAATTAAAAAAAGGTCACAATCATATCTCAATGATATGCTTTGGCACACCCAAATACTTGAAGCTGAACTTACGGTTATGTTCGTTAATATTGTTGACTGTAACTATAGAGCCGTAGGGAGGTTATCACTTTAAATCAGTACATACCTGGTTATCTTTTCTCCTATAACGTTTTATCATCTTGTCTCGGATGTCGTGAAAGCAACCTTGAGTCGCGATGTCGTAGAGCTTACCAAGGTCTTTTTCGTTGACAGAGGATGACAAAAAGCGATGAGTCAAAGCACCTGAAGTTTAAGTAATAGATAAAGGTTACTTCGTATGCAGCCGTAAAACATGCATTTCTGCAGTGCTCGTTTTGAAGAGGTGCCAAGTAACGTGAATTTACTGGCAACCTCAGGTGTCAACAGATACGACAGAACAAACCGCATAGACGCTTTTGGGTCGTCACTTGATAACCTAGTGACCATTGCCATCTGTAATCGTCACAAATAATTAAATTTATGTTAATGACTTACAAATCTGTCCCTGGTTTCTTTCTGGGACAAACCGGTATCAAGCATCTGCAGTTCCTCTTCAGATGACAAAGGAAACTGCTGACTGGACAGTCCGCAATCGAATTGATGCGGTTTTTCGCGTTCATGAAACTTCGATAGTAGTTGGTTTACATTAACATTCAAGTCAATAATGGCGGACGACATGTTGTTAATTGTTTTTGTCAGTTCACTGATAACTAACGACATGTTCAGCACCAGTGTATACAACCTTTCACTCCTGAAAAAGGTCACTACATGATGCAGGTAACTTACTTGTCCACTATAGCGCCGCCAGCATGCTTACATTCCGATGTCGAAGGTGATGTATCTAATTGTGTCGAACTAATTCGTGAATATCTAAATACTAATTAAACGTACTTGGCGATTGGCGATATGAATTTTTCGAAAACACGGAATTTGGGATATTGTACGGGGACATTCCTAGACTGCATCTCAGCCACATCCATGTCGACTGAATTGTAAAGAAAATCTTCTTTACGCTTCATTACACCTCTAGGAAATGTTAGTAAAATTATTGTACAGACCTTTTTGGCTTCTCAGTGTTTAGTGGCAAAGTGTTTTCATCCGTTGAGGTGTTTTTCCGTTGAGACTCTAGTATCTGTAGGGCAAATAACAGATCTTTTGCCGACTGTAGAGAATCTATAGTGAATTATCCATCCTGTGTATGTAACGTACCTAATTCGTGAATCACTTTACATTTCATCAATGACCAATTTTCATTCGGTTGGTCGCTCTTCTGAAGGTGTATATCTACATGCTCGTTCGGAAAAGCGCACAGTTCCTTTCCTACTATCCACTCTTTGTGTGCTACCATCAGTTTTTTTTTGTTCAGGACGTCAACAATAACGTACTTCCTGTTAGCGGGCTGAAAATAAAAGAAGAAGTAAGTAAATTATTTGTCGTCATTTATTCAACACTAGTGAAACAAAATGCATTTACAGCCAAGTATGCAGCAATGGGATAAGAACTAGATAATTCATACAATTTATGGCCATACATTTACAATCTATGTCGTTGACCGAGATCCAGGTGTGTTCATGGCTAACTACGGAGCACCTAAAAATTCCAATATCAGTAGATGGGAATGGATCTTCAAAGTAATTGCGTGGGTCAGTGAAAGTCCTAAATTTTAGTAGTCCATCCTCCTTTATATCAGTGATTAAACCTGTCTGGCCGTTCACTACTACTACATTATCAGGCTGACATGAAGTGATTTTACTACTGTTAAACATAATTACTGGTTTTGTAGAGACATGAGTAGCGCCTATTGGGGTAGTATTAGTTAAGCCACTAATTTAAAGCCTATCGCTGAAGGACATTCTCTCAGCATAACGCTGTGCTGCTTGCTTAGCCACTGCAAACCCACTACGCACGGAATCCTTAATTTGTCTCATATAAGACTCGAATGGAAAGGCTGAAAAACTATCTAAAGGTCCATGTGCACGAACGTCGTCAGGTAGGTGCTGTAACGAATGCACATTGTAAACTAAGTGTTCACACCCATAACACCATTCATATTCATTCATGAAGTTTAGTAATTCCATTCTGGCGGTTTCTACAACACTTATGTACTTTGGGATGTGCAAGCAGATACATGGATAACGCTAAACGCCGGAAATTAAGATAATAAGGTTGTGGCATTGTCTTTTCAAGAATCACCGGGCCTAAATATAGCAGGAACAACCTACATTCAGACGCTTTCCATGCCGATACAAAGTCTAGTGTACGGCATTTACGGGGAAAGTCAGAAGGAGTACTTGCCACACAACCGGATATTAAATTGTTTATGTCTCTAATTGCACATGAGTTAAAGTTCCGCAGTCTTTGGCGTGCTAAATCTATCCATAAATTAGCTAGTTTTTTGGTAACTCAAAGGTACACCATGTGCATAGGATCTAGAGGAAAAGTTACAATCATATTAATAGAAAGCGTTTCCATTATAGAATGTCCTTGATGGTGAATAGATTGAGTCTGACGACGGAAGGTGTCGTCTGTTCTTAAAGTATATACCCCATTGTTTATTTACCAGGACTTATATATATATATATATATATATATATATATATATATATATATATATATATATAGAACAAGCAGATATCTGCTTATTTTTTATGTACCTTGGTTCGAATTAATTTCAGATGCATTCAGCTAAAATAATCCACAATCGCCCGGGGCTGTTTAAAAGTGACTAGTTTTCTCCAGATTCTAGGAAAAGTTGAGGAAAAAACCCTAGACCAATTAGAGTATTGATGATTTCTTCAAATTCACTCGAGGTTTCAGAATAAAACCCCAAAATAAGCATAGTGCTCACCGATTGTCCGCTAGTATTGCAGCACTGACAACCTTTAAAGTGTGAATTTTGGGACGCACAAGAGATGTCTCAATATGCCCTCTTGAAAGACGAAAATGCGATCCATAGGTTTAATGTAACTTAAATTCACACCAATTTCTCTTGGGCGATGTCGCTTATATTTCCCTCAAGTTCACACTTATTACGCCTTTCTTTGTCTGGACAAAAGCTCCTTAATTGAAAGCCTTTCCTATTCACTTCACAAATATGTGATTACCATGATTGTTGTAGCTATTTCAATCCGTAGTGCCATCATGGTTAATTGCCGTAAAAAGTCTTCGGCATTGGCAGCCTAGTACATAATTTTTAACTTGGTTTTGATTCATACCTAGTATCAGGGCTAGTTTAACTAACTGTTTAAGTGAGTAATATGGATGAATCGAGGCTCGAATCCGCACTCAATGACCAATGATTTTGTCTGACGGGTTACATATGATGGTTCGAAATATTCTTACTTCAGTAGTGTTGTAGATCACCAACGTAGATGATCTATGTCGAAATGATTGGAGGCCTACTCGAGTTAGACGTGAATGGTGTGACGAACCAACTAACGTCGAAGTCACACCCCGTGGTCAGCACCTTACGTGGACTACCCCCATTGACGTATCAAGGTACTATAGATGCTTTGAAGACTGCACAACACAAAGGACGTTATGACAGAAATATATTAGTTAAAGTAGATACAAGCAAAAGTAAGACCACTGCCGCATGGGCCAGTCCATGGCATACGATTAACTAATGTGCGTTGGTTGTACATGACCTTGGCAGGGAGCGATGATCTGTTTGACATTCAGTGATCCAACTGCCGGATGATTTGGCTAGGGCTCAGTGACATTTCACTGGCCCTACAGCGTCCCCTGATGTATGACTAACTACAGCCATGGTATATTCTTACACAAGCAGAAAACTAACTAGTTGTGGGAGCAATTCAACGTCAATTTGGTGATAAATTTCTCATTTTAATGTGTGTATCAAGCGTTCGGCTCCACCTCCCACTTGTGGCATATAATCTTACCAACATGGAACAAAAATAGGTTCCACACCTCAGAGGCGACGTGTACCCAAAAAACCTTACCCTTCCACAGGGGATTTTCTTTTATTATCACCTTATATAGTATTGCATGACTTATGAATACTGTTGCATGTTAATCTGCAGTTTGTGAGGTTTCATAACAGTTTCTCCTTGTTGAAGTGAGATTTCAAGTGTCGGTTTACTGTACTATGTTGGAAAGTATGAGAGCAATCTAATGTAATTTATTTAAATATTTGCTTGCTTAGCTATGAGCTACAACACGTGGTATTTTATCTAATGTTAGATTTCGGTTTTTAAGTGTTTGCCTAGTTCCCAGTAACATAAAAGATCTGTGACTATCATACATTTCTGGTAAGTTTTTCCAGTAACGATTCTGCTGAGGTTCTCAACATAATTGAAGTTAATGGTTTTATTGTGACAGCATGATCATAAGTTTTTACATTTATGTTGGATAAGTGGTTCGAACTTTTCACTGGATTGATTGATAGTATATATTTCTATCTCGTGAAAAATGAACTCATATGGGATAGGGGTCATGGTAAGTAGACTAATTTTGTTTATGAAAATAACTGCAGTTGCATTTCTTGTCATGTGTGTTCAACTATTCGTACATTACAAAGTAGTTACCTATAGTGTTTAATTATCACATAAAAATACGAAATTAATCTATAGAGTTATTCATTAAAAGTGGATTACATCCGAAATGAAAGTGCTTATTTTGATTTTAGGATGAATGTATTGCAGATGGTTAAACAAATGGACACTCTTTCACCGAGAATCCAAGCCTTGTTAAAAGAAAGTAATTGTTTCAGGTGTAATGAAGACGCAAATATTGAATCTCCATTTTCTCGAGAAGCTTTGAAGGCCAGACTGAGTGACCTGGAATTCCGTGTAACACAAAATAAAGAAACGGAAAAGTATGCTTTATTGATTTATCTTATTGTTCTAGACCTTTTTCAGGGAAATATGTAAATGAGAAATCACCTGGAATATATAGATGTGTTGTCTGTAGCTCGAAACTGTTTAGCAGTGAAGCGAAATTCTTCTGTAGTTGTGGCTGGCCTGCATTTAACAGTCCTATAGAGTGTAACTCATTGACCTCATCCATTGATTTGTCATCAGGTATGTACTAGGTAATTCATTTCATTTTTGTTTATCGAGACGACTTGTGTAATAGCCTACGTCAACACCTGAACTAAGGATAGGGAGTGAAGTAGTCGAACGCGTCGACAACTTTACTTGTCTGGGAAGTCTGATCAGCATTAATGGATTGTTGTCTGACGAAATCTCTGCACAGATTCAGAAGGCTCGTTTGGCTTTTACCAATTTACGTCACTTATGGCGAAAGCAAGATATCTGTCTATCAAATAAGGGACGAGTATACTGTGCGACAGTTCGTTCCGTTTTACTTTACAGTGGCGAAACGTGACCATTAAGAGTAGAAGATACTCGTATTTGATCACAGGTGACTTAGAAATATTGCTGGCGTCTGCCGGGATCACCGGGTAAGTAATAGTGAAGTTAGACGCAGAGTATTAGGGAATGATGGTATATCAGTTTATGAAGTTGTGAATCTTCATCGACTGAGATAGTTGGGCCACGTGTTACGTATACCTGAACACCGATTACCACATCGTGCAATGCTAGCCGGTGTTGTGGATGGTTGAAAGAAAGTTAGGGGCGGCCAAACCAAAACGTGGAGTCATTGCTTGGAGATACTAACTTCTCGTCCCAGCAGTGTTGTTAGATGCATACTACTTGATTGGGGTCCGCGTGACTATCATAACCAACGGTTGGGAGACTCTGAATGACATTGCCCAGAGTCGACCACAATGGCGTACGCGTATACACTTTCTGTCTTCCGTTAAACCGTGAGATTAAAATTGTTTTATACCTTTATTTCTACGAACTAATTCTTTCTCCCTGTATCATATCCTTATGTGAAGTCTTTCTTTTTTATATTACTGCCATTAATGTAACTACTTATATGAATTTGGTGTTCATCTTGTCGTGCTAATGAAGTGTGGCAACTTAGATCGATGCATATATGTACCTGGCTCTACGTCATAGCTGACTGTCTTCCTCATTTAAGTTATTTTAAACATGGGAAATCGAACATCATCAGTACCCAAAGCATCCCTAAAAATATTGTTGACAATGATTAGTAATTGAGCAAAATGTTCGAATGTTAAAGAAGTTCAAAAGTAATTATGTCTTCCTAATAAGGCTAAATTACAAGTTTTTAAAATTTTTGCGTCAACAAGTTTCGAAACGCTTACTGATTCTATTCTCAACAGATATACTAGGTCTAATAAAGTACTGAGAAACCTATTCTCACTTTATATTCTAACAATTATCCGAAACGAATGACATAGCTTTTTAGCATCATCACTGGCTCACCACTATTTCATCTGTAGTCCAGTGATCAATAAATTGTTACGAACCCAAATTCATCTAATGTAGTTTGGTGTAAGTTCGGCACCTCGAGTCTTCGCATAAATTGATGGATCATATTCTGTTTCGATTGTCCTGTTTCAACGTATAATAATTATGATAAGTTTCTGATTTACTGTACCGTCCTTAGAATATTGGTGAAAATTCATCCCGTTACTTTCATGAATGTATATCATTCCGTACTATATGAAGGTACAACTATTTGATGGGCAAACTAGAATTTGTGGTCATAAGGTGTATTTCTACATCAGTCAGTCAGTCAGTCAGTCAGTAACAACGTAGAACTTCGTACGTACGTACATCAGTTCGAGTTGCCACACCACCTTAACACAGAGATGCAGTTGTCGATCCAAATCCCGTAGTGGTAGAGGTAGCAAGAGTGTAAGCAGTGATCGGGAAGATTAGGGTTTGGAGATGTTATTTAAAGAGTATAACCTTCTGGTTTACCTTACTAGCAGATATCACTGCTGTTTCCACAGCTTTTCGGATATCATTCCATGCTGCCTCGGGGTGGGCATCACATACATGGCTGCCTAACTGTTTTCCTAGTTGTTCCTGAAATATACTCTTAGCTTGACTATCATTAAGTAGGCCCCTAAGAGGTTTCCTTGCAGCGTCTTTTCTACGTCCAGTAAGACGCAAGCAAATACGCGCTCGCACTAGAGCATGATCTGAATCTAAGCATGTGCTCCAGAATGAGCGACAGTCTTCTATCGAGCCCCTCCATCGGTAGCTGATGGCGATGTGATCTATTTGGGTCCAACGTTGGGACGAATTACGGGGTCGCCATGTTAAAAGATGTTTTTCCTTATGCTTAAAGTTAGTATTTGCAAGGAACAGGCGATTATCTGAGCATAGCTGCAACAGACGGTCGCCATTATCTGTTCTTTGAGCCACGACACCATAAGATCCACCTAGGTGTCTTTCCCTATCGCTTAGTTTACCTACTTGAGCATTAAAGTCACCGGCCACTATTACTACATCATAGCGCCTAGCGAGATTCTAAAGTCCTAGCTAAACAGGCCTGCTGTCCTATTTGGCACAGTGTTCGGACGTTAAAAGCTCCTACGTGTAGTTTAGGGCGTGGTTTCAGGAGACCAGGAATCGAGTTCCACGTACTCGAATCGTTTGCCCTAGCGGTGCGAGGTGATAAAGAGACATGAGGAGGGTTAGTCATGGAGATAATAGAGGTATTAGGAGGTGTAGGAAGGATTTGAATGTGACCAACTTGGCCTCGTGTGCTGTTACGGGTATGAGGGCTGATGTCACTTCCCGGCCGCCCACACCGTGGAAGGGTATTTCTTGAGGAACCTGAAAAGGAAATTGGATTAGTGTTGGTCTTGACGACCTGGGAGCGTGACCGCAGAGCCCAAGGGACAACTGCTTGAGGCCGGTTGCGCACGGCCTTTTTGTGGAAGGATTTTGACGTGTTAGCTCCGTTCTTCAAAGGGCCTTACCGCCGGAGACGGAAATCCGTGAGGTAAGGTGAGGTGTGACATTTTTAGGGTCGACCTTTTCTAACCCCACCCCTCCTTGTGGGAAGGCAGCATCGCTGTCATGCTGGTTGTCTGATGGAAACACCTTACTGCTGTCACACCTCTCTACAGTCAGCAGTACGACTTCGCCCTCAGACCTTGAGTTGCTGCTTTTAGTCTTACCGTTCACCAATCGACCTGCCTGGCATGGTAGAACCTACAGGAACATATGTTCCAGCCAATATAGCTCGGTTGGGTCATCACGATAGGCAAGCCCGACCACCGCGTCAAGGTAGCAGCTTCGGTCGGGGTATTTCTACATTAAAATAGTTAACCTAATTACGCAGCTTGTGTAATCTTGGTGTGTTCTCAAATACATAATTTGAATACCGACCACTAAATACATAGTATTACCACAATCTGGTATGCCCAAACTTTTAAATATTTTACTAATGAGATTTTGCTTTTCTTTGTCCTCTAAATCTCGTTTGTTTCCAATTCATTAAACTTTATATGGGTGCATAAAACTAATATTGTGTAGAGCAGCAAGACGACTTGTTATTGTAAAATTGGTGTTTCAAAATTCCGTAACTGACAATCGATCTTACAATTATACTTCATTGTGTATACAAATGATGTAAGTTTCAAGCTGATAACTCGAGTAATTAGTAACTCCTTTGACATATGTAGAAAAGCAGTGTGCGCTTTAACACTGTACGTTTTTCGATTCCTTCAGTATTCCCGATTTTCAATAGTAATTCATCAATTTTAATGGATTATACGAGACATTTTGGTTTTCGATTTATTTTTTAGGTGAAGTCCGTGTAGAAGTTTCTTGCAAGGGATGCAACGCTCATTTAGGACACGTGTTTGACGATGGCCCGAAACCTACAGGTCTTCGTTATTGCATTAATTCTTGTGCTCTAATTCTTGATTCTGATATTGGTAGCTCATCTAGTTTAAATTTGCCAACTGCTTGATATTTTGTTATTGTCAGATACAATGATGTTAATTGTACGTAAGCTAGAATTATCCTAGTGTTGCATTTCTAATCTCATGCTTTTTCCCAAAGTCTTATGATAAACTTTGTGATGTTTTCTCACTTCCGTTTTACTTTTCTAATTTGTATTTCCTGTTTTTTATTTGAATTTATAAAAGTCGTTTTCTAATTTTTAAATTGCTTGTCTTTTAGTCTGAAATTCAAGTTACGCTGGATGTTTAGGAAGGGCTTTTTTCTCAATGGAATAAACATTTTTGTTTCATTGGTAGTTAGAATCCTTTGTATTCATCGTCCATTGTATTGTATGTATGATAAAATTCACCTTGTGCTTAATACATGTGCATGGGCTGCTTATACTCATTAAATGCAACCAGTCGAAAGTACTCACCATTTATCGCTACTTCTCATACGAATACCTGTTCACAAGCACAGAATCTGTCCGTACAATACAAACAAGCATTTTTAAATTTGTTTTTGGGAATGACACCTCAAAATCAAGGCTTAACCAAATGAATTAGTTCTAAATGGGTTTTAAGTTTTAAATTCCTTATTCTAAAATATAGAACATCACTAATCTACGTATAGTGAATTGACTCTTTATCCACACTTGACATTTCTCCTCTTCCCGTTCAAACACAAGCACGACACTAAGTTCCGTAAAATCGTTACCATCTCATATCAGGTTGAGATAGGTGACTTGCATAGAAAATATATATGAGGTTGACCAGTTCAAATACAATTACTTTTTGCAATTTCTATCGATTCTAGGCGGCATATTTTTTCGTGTGTGGTTACTATTTGCTCAAATATTTTGGGATGCTACCAAGTACTTGTATTTACATTCTCCTCATGAAGTTTATATGATACCAAACACCTTGTTTAGTAATTTCTGCGTCATTTGTATCGTGTTTTTTTCGTAGAATATTATTTATATGCTTATCTTTTAGAGTGTAAGACAAAAAATTGTCATAACTGTACATTTTTACGATTCCTAACCTTGTACTTCTAAATATCTGAAGTAACTTCCTCTATTGACAGTTTGTTCTAAACATTTTAATTACTGGTCCGACGGTGAGTAATTAAAGCCGGTTCCGAGTTTGTATCTATCTGACTACGTTGTTACGTATCGTTCAAGTTATTACATGGTGAATTGTACTGAATGTTCGCAGATAATATGGACACGGTTGCTAAATTTAGTGTTTATATAAGTTATCCCGCACTGTATTTGACAATCAATAGACTTCATTCAAATCTCAGGATTACTACGTATTTTTTAATCAATCCATAGTTGCTTTCCTGATCGATTGTTACCGAGTTCTGTCCTCAAGATTATTACACAGTTTTGCTTTATCCCTGTACAGTTTTCACATGGTTTTGAGTCATCTGTTTAATAAGGCTCCAGTAATAATTGAATTCTTTTAGTTCCACTAATTCATGTAACCGGTACTAAATTTCCTTTATCTCCACAAGTATATATTACGAACTCGCAAGATCAGCCTGCAACACGTTACTTACCATTTTGTAAAAGTGAATATTATAGTTTATTGAATTCATATTTACAAAAACATTTTAGCCTGTATTGAGTACAGTTTATATAAATTAAACCCTTCTTTGTAAACTTCGTTTCAAATTTGGTAATAGGAATAGTTTGCTAATAGGAGATTCTTTGTTCACCACTCTTGTGATTGTGACATTTTTTGTTGAAACATTTTTAAGTATTTAATAGGATGATGTATGATTATACGTTAATGCATGACTTAAGTCACATGAAGCGTTATATTCACATGATTCTATTCAGGTGTGTTAATCTTACTAACCGCTGGAATTTTTATCATCATTAATTTAATTCTTAGTTATTCATTTTCATGCCTAACTATAACTGCCCACGAGATCAATATAAGTGATACTCGGGCCGGAAAAAAACTGCTTGGAAATACAAACTACTTGTGAGTAGTTTAACGAGTTATCTTGGTTTCCTAATTCAGTTATTATTAAACACTAACTGCTCCAATATTCTCGGCTCGATATGATAATTAAAAGTAGTGGAGTTGGGTTTAGTAGCTAGCAATTATAAAGACAGTAAAATTTTTACCCTAGTACTCACGAAGGAACCAGTAGTTAACTTAGAGGATTCAGTGAGCACACACGAAGGTGTCGTATTTTGAATCCGAATCAGGGGAAGAGAAATATACGGCGGAATTCCTAATTAGCACAAATAGAAAAAGCGACTAGACGAAAAGTGTCCTTTATTACTGATGAAGCACTCTACAAATCCCTTATAACCGCTGTTGAAGTGTAAAGTAACGATATGATTGGCTTGATGGCTATCATGCGGCCATAGTTTTAAGCCACCATATACTATCGCCGACCCTTACATAAAAATGTGAGCCGAAGCTAGTTCGACTAGTTTGTGCGTGTATAATTACGTTATCCTCGATACTTAGATACCACCATCATGCTATTCGGGCAATCCCTAAATCCCCTCATACGATCAAGTTCTTGAGCCATTCCAGTCTTGATGGAAGACAATGACGACCTTATTACTACTTGTGTTTCCAATGCTTGCTTAATCTGGGAGAATTCTAGAGTTCCTGCAAAGTTTCAGTCACACTATGTTGCTGAGCGTTGACAATTTTAAATCATAGGTAAGTCACTTCCTGTAAATCATCTCTAAATAATGTAGTATTAAATGCAATGAATAATAATATTTTAGTATTGAGACTTATGAGTAAAATAGTGTTCAGTTCATTTAATTCTTAGCAATTTTCTTATCTATCATGACTAGGTAGAGAAGAAAAGTATTTATAGATAACATAATGTCTTCATGAAAGTTTCATCGTATGGAATGAAAACTAAGTCGTTCTTTTATCAAAATGTAGTATGGGACCCCTGGTGGTGTAATTTAGTTCGATTCAGGAACTCAATGAAACTCAACATTCTCCACAACCCCATACTTAAGAACATATTGCTATTCTTTGTACGAGAGATATACTCTAATAGTTTTACAGTTGACGCATTATTCATTTAATCAATTTTTCGTTTTTCACATTAAGCAATGCGCTGTGACATTGGTTACCTAGTATTTTGTGTAACATATCACTTGTATCTTTCTACGTGCTAGACATAAGTTCATATAAACACTGTTTTTTACAGTTATGATGTTTGAATATTTTTAACAAATTCAGATACTAGTAACACTGATGCACTGTCCTAATTACTATGTGAAATAGTTTCATAATATATATATAATCACTTTTACACAGACTAAAATTCAAAATCAAAATAACTTAGTATCTACATGGCTATTTTGAACCTTTAATCTTGTAGAATGTGACATAGAATGGTTAATAAAAAAAGTGAAAACTTGTGTATCAGTCATAATATTTGCAGTCACTCATAAAACAGTATTTTAAATACGTACTGGAAAAAGATAATTTACCAACGGAGAGAATGTATCATGATTGCGTTGTAAGGACTCTAATTTTAATAACACAGATCTGTTTAGTTCAGTGCACCGATTTATTCATTTTTCGTAGCCTTTAAGATATTCTTGTTTCTTTTTTGAATGCCTTAGGCTTATTTCACGTCGGTATCACTTGAGTTCTATATTGCCGGATATATTTAGCTCTTCGATGCTTCTAATATTTATTAACATGATCATAATATTTATATGAATACTACTGGTCACCAACATGAGAAAGAGAAAAACTTCACTAGTAGGTCATACAAGTTATCATCACGAATAGTTAACGTTAGAACACTTAACTAAAATTCTAGTATTATTTAATAAGCCTCAGTCGTCTCATAGTTTGTACAAATCTACCAACTTTTAACTGCAGACATAAGCCAATCTATCTGACTAACAACCAATGAGAAAGCTTAGTACTAATAATAGTAGTTTTTCAGTCTAAAGAATAAAGGATTGATTCCAAATACTTTAGTACACAGTCGGTGTTATGTTAAATATAAATTCTTGAAATACAAAGTTTTTAAAATATTTTCATAAAAATAAAAAACTAATTATGGTTTAAATGACCCAGTGAAGTATAACTTGGCTTCAGATATAAAATCAGCAGTTTCAGTTTTGAAACAAGCCAACATTCTCGTGTTAGTTAAAGAGTATACGAAAAGAATGGTGTTGTAGTTTCACAATTTATTTGTTTCAACGTCTTTTTTACGAGGTCAAAGTGTCACCACTTAAACACAGAATATTACTAAGGTTTTCTGTGAAAACTTATTGATAAAAACCGTTTATTCGAGCAAGTGAGCTTGACAGGATTCTGTAGAAACCTATGAAAGTTAAGAAACTCAATGAGTTTCTGCATTATTCTCTCAAGCTTGTCGTTTATTTATTTAAACACAAATATGAGTACAAGGATGCACCAAATAGATAGGCGCCACATAAATCATCCGATTTGTGTGACAGCTGGGATACCACATGGGTGCCCGAACCGAAGCAGGTGATTTCCTTAGGGAGCCACACCTCGATCCTTTGACCTAAAGGTCTAATCCACAAGACGATGGAACAACGTCGGGAGATGCATTCCCATGGTAGCCGGTGACCAACGATTGGTTCGTACGCCACTTGTTACCTTATGATTCTTGAGCCCGTGTACCATTGGTTTCGAATCACGGTTTTCCAACTCCCTTAGATGGATCCTCCGTATCTATCAACTCGGTTAAAGCGCCGGAAATTCGCTTTTCGTTCTCTTAATTCCGTAAACAATAGTAGTCCCGTGTGAAGTTAGTGAGTAGGACTTCCCTGACAGTGGTTGTATGCACGTGGGAACATTTCGAGAGGGAGAGCTGACTCTCCCCACTCTCGGCAAATAATTGTCTTTAACTTTTCTTCAGTTACACCTTGGGTTACTTTTGTTATTTAAGAAAACTATTTAGTTAAATCCTAATCGTAGTCTAACATCAAAGAAACCAGACAATATATATTCCTAGACAAAATAAATTATTGTAAAATAATAGAACTATAATACAGAAAGAATTGATTTTCATTTATTGATCCATGGATTACGATTATTCAAAACTTTCACATCAATTTGGAATGTTAAAATATATGACCAAGTTATATTTTTTATTACAAATCAGCGACATTCATTCATGGTATTATTACAATTTCTTAATTTATGCGAAAAACTGTGCACTATTCAGGAGTATTTTGTTATTATCTATACTGTATATTAGAACACACGGCCAATATTTAGTTTTGTCTAATTTGTAAACACATGGAATCAAATATAAATGGATTGTTTTATATTCAGCAACAAAAAAAATATATGACTTTATGACTAATTATTCAACACAAAATGTATACACATTAGTACTAACTAAGAACAACGGTTCTATTAGGATGTGTGTGGATATTGATCA